CCCCCTCCTCTCAAAGCTAGGCCGCTTTTTTCTCTATCTTCCTGTAAGCCACTTCAGCAGTCTTTCCTGGGCCAGCAGTCTACGGTGGGGCATCTCTGTTGTCCTAGTATTTCCGTCTGTAGTTACTTACTTCTCACTAGAATGTAAATATTATAAGGAAACACTAGCACACTGTCGACAAATAGAGCCTTCAAAATCCTCCTTACCTTAGTGAAACCTGATACTACTTTATGCAGACTGAGCAATGATTCATGATTCTTGCTGTGCCCCTGGGCGTCAATATTATTTACAAATTTTTGAAAAACAAAATACAATTTCTTATTTTTTGTTCTTTGGTACTGGGGATCGAACTAGGGTCCTTGCACTTGCAAGGCAGGCGGCAGAACCACTGAGCTAAATCCCCAGCCTCAAAACACAATTTTTAAAGCAAAAGGAGAAAAAAATATCCTGTTTTCAATTTCTCCCCACTCACTTTAGGAGTTTAGATCACTTGATGTCTTTCAGCTTCAGTTTCATCTGAAAAATGGCAAGAACAACATGTACCTTTCAAAATTGCTGTAAGATGAGGGAGTGTACATAAAGTTCGAAGAAAATCCTCCCTAAATATTAATGAATAACACTATTGGTATAATGTAAAGAGTTCAGTAGATTCTCCTATCATATAATAAATGCTTCAGAAATGGAGGCGACTTGAAACCACCTAACTTCATTTCTGTCTCACTTTCTCTTTCCTTCACATCCCCATCTGTGACTGAAAATATCCTCCCCAATTTGAAGATAGTAAATAAAATGTCACCAGATTAAACAATGCATCTTAAAAGTCTTTTTCAGGGGCCAAGCATTTAGCTCAGCGGTTTGGTGGCCTGCCTTGCAAGCACACGGACCTGAGTTCAATTCCTGGTACAAAAAAAAAAAAGTCTTTTTCAGTCATGATTGTGCACAATCTGAATCTTGGTAGCAGCATCTGACAACGGTAAACACCAGTTCTTGCAAGGCCTATCAGACCTTCTAATCCCCTAATTCACTTTGTTCCCTACGTGAATACCGGATTATTTAGCTTCTCTCAGAAGAGACATGGTAATGGTGATGGTAATGGTGATGAACTCTCAAAGTGAGCTACTGTCTTTTAGACATTGATAAGGGTAGGCTTTCATTCCAAATCAATAAATGTCTATGCTGCCTTCTTGCTATCCAGGATCCCAATTCTTCAGAGTGAGTCCATGTGAAAGGCTCATGAATTATATAAGAAAGTAGTAAGGCAAAGAAGTTGGATGAATGTGCAAAAGGCAAAACTGCAAGAGGCTCTCCTCAGAAGACATGCCCTATTTTTTGGATAACTTATTCCCAAACAAGTCTGCTCTTAAGGCCACAGAGCAGGGTGTTTTTGTTTGTTTTGGTTTTTCGGGTTTTTTTTTTTGAGATAGGGTTTCACTATGTAGTTGAGACTGACCTGGAACTCACTATGTAGTCCAGTCCAGGCTGGTCTCGAACTCACAGCGATCCTCCTGCCTCAGCCTCCCAAGTGCTGGGATTACAGGCTTGTGCTACCATGCCTGGCCAGAGGAGGGTGCTTATATGTTCTGTTAACTGCCATAGCCTCAGTGCCTAGAAGAGTGCTAGTGCCTGGAACACAACAACATTCAGTATGTGTTGGAGAGATGGGTGAATAAATGAGTGGACAGGCTCAGGAAAACAGATTGAAACTCTGGCCTGCTAACACTGTTCTCAGAAGAGTAGTACAAGATCTCAGATGCAGAGAAATCCGTGCTCTCTGAATGCTGAGTGCCTCAGCAGCCACCACACACTCAGTGCCCAATTCCTTAAAACATGACCTTCAAATTACAAACTAGAAAAGTAAAAGTTGAATTTTAAATTAATAAATTTGACATGAAAATTGGAAACATCTGCTCTTCAAAATAAAAAGGCAATTCAGATTGGGAAGAAATATTTGAGTAAAAAATGTGAACGAGTTAACAAAAAGACAATAGCAAGATAGTAGGCCAGGGATTTAGCTCAGTGCTGCTGCTGCCTGCCTCGCAAGCATAAGGACCCGAGTTTGATCCCCAGGAAAAAAAAAATAGCAAGATAGCAGTTAAACACACAAGATGATTGATACCACTGGCCATTAGGCGAAAGCTAAAATATTCAGTGCCTTCAAGAAAGATGGTGTCAAAGAGCTGGTAAGGCACAAGCCGAAATCACATCAGGGACTTACTTCCTTGCAGCACTTTACTCCTAGGCACTTTTACTCAACCATACTCCTAGGTTTCTGCTGTTAGGTAAGAAATTTTGCCAGGCGTGGTGGCACACGCCTATAATCCCAGCACTCAGGAGGCTGAGACAAGAGAATGGCCCTGAGTTTGAGGCCAGCCTGGGCTACATAGTGAGTTCAAGACCAGTCTGAATTACAGAGCAAGACCCTATCTCAAAAATAAATAAATAAATAAAAAGATTTCACTGGCAAAGAACTCATCAGCAGTCTACGAGGCAGACAGCTACTTTGGTACTGGGGATCACACTCGGGACCTTGCGCTTGCGAAGCAGGTGGCAGAACCACTGAGCTAAATCCCTGGCCCCAGAAAGCTACTTTGTACTGTGGCATATACACTATAAAACATACGTACCTTACGATCACACAAAGCTAAGATTGATAGCCTTTCTCAACTCACTGTGACCCTGGGAAAGTCATTTATTCTGCAATTTATGTTCTTCGTCTATAAAAAGCAGAGAACTAGCTGCCATCTTTTGTCCTCGTGTGTACCTAATGTCAGCTGATCTGCCATGACACCCTGAGTCACCTTCCGGAGCCTAGTTCTTAAAGCCCTTTCATTTATTCACTCATCTATTCCTAATCCTCTGCACTGCCCCATATCTACTCCAACAAGATGAAAGAAAACTATCACGAACCAGGAAAAACTAGACTCCAGGCACAAGTGTGCATTATTGGGGAAAGAACTGTTCACAGAAAGAAGGTGGCTCACAGAACAACTGCAGCAGGTGATTAAAAAAAAACTTCACTTCTCATGAAAGAAGTGAGGGGTAAACATCTCTAGTATTGAAGAGGTAAATATGTTTAAAAATAAAGGAACACTGATCCATATCAACCAAGTTCGGGTCTCTAGTAGTGAATACTTTTCACCACTACAGGTCATGCTGAGATAAAACAGCTGACAAAATGCTATCTAGCATCTTAAACCAGTGTGGTGTAGACAGTGTGACTAGATTAAGGAGACTGGCTGAACCTCTGCCTAAAAATCTTCAGATGGGAAAGAGCCACTTGCTACTGGAGAAGATGAGGAGGAGGCTCCACATCTTGTGGAAAATTTTGATGAGGTGTCTAAGAATGAGGCAAACTGAATTGAATCAACTTTTTTGGGTTGTTTGTTTGTTTTTGAGACAAGGTCTCACTGTGTAGTTGAGACTAATCTAGAGCTATGTAGCCCAGGCTGGTCTCCAAATTAGAGATCATCCTGCCTCAGCCTCCTGAGTGCTGGGATTACAGACATGCACCATCACGCCCTGAATTAACTTCTGAAAAAAATAAAATCTGGAAGAAGTTATTGGGGGCTCCTATTTTATATTATGACTTTTTTTTGATACTGGGGATAGAACTTGGGATATTATGACTATTTTTTAAAACTTGTTTCTGTTTATATACAAAAATCTAGATTTCTAGTATTTTTAAGACTAAGCCCTTAGACACTGCAGCTCTTTTTACTTTTTGCTTATATACAATTCATTCTTTGTAGTCAGTTAAGCTGAAAAGGCCTGGGACTAAAGTTTGAAACAAAGATTAATGAAATTCTTTGCCTACTTAAAAAAAAAATAAGAGTACCTATCTACTCTGCTGCTGCTGGATGCTTACCCAATAGGCCTAATGCCTTTCATTCTTGCTGGTAGACATGATTAGCAAGACGAGTTCACTCTAGTCCACAGTTCAAAGGGTATTTGCTTTGACAGAGATAGCATAGGAGAAAACAAACCATTTCTAGCATGAGACAAGAGACCAAGATCTACTAGGGGTCCCAAGGAAAGATTTCCTTAGTTAGAATGAAACAATGGGGAAAATTAGTCCCACTTCTAGTAGACACTGTTTTGCCAGCATTTTTTTCTGGAATTATAGTAGCTACATTGGGATTATCAGGTGAACTAGTATGAGGATAAACTAACAAAGAAGAAAAGAACAAAAAGATTGCATTCTGGTTCTTTGGTGTTATCATTTAGCCACTTAATTAACCAACCTTAAGAGCCAGATGAAATCAGAACTTCCTGTAATATGAAACCCTAAGTTTCCTTACATAAGCCAATTTAATTGGAATTTTGTAATATGCAATTGAAGGTAACTGATAAAGGACATGATGATTACTTTTTTTCTTTTCTTTTGAGACAGGATCTCACTATGTTGTTCAGGCTGGCCTTGAACTCATGGTGATTCTCCAGCCAGCACCAAGAGTGCAGAGAGGGATTACAGCATGTAACACCACACGCAGCCTTACATGATTACTACAAATATGCAGTTATATAAAACAAACTGTATAAACACTTAAGTAAACAGTTCAAGTACTCACACCCATCCTTTTGTAGCTCATTCTCATTAGGAGCCCATATACCTTTCTCAAACACTTGGCTGGAAGCTTCCCCTCTCTTTCAAGAGTAAAGTTCCCTGCCTTTGGAAGACGGGGAAGAGGGCCTAAGGGGTCTCTAAGAAAGTCCCTCACTGTTACTTTATCCCAAAATATCTTTGCCAAGAAGACAATGGGGAAGGTGCTATAGCTAAGAGCGAGAGGATGGTATGTTCTTGCAGTGTAAGCGATAAAAGCCTAATAAACCATGGTGTGGTGTCTGAGTGAAAGAAGTCATGGTGTGTACATGGAAAACTTCTAAATGTACCTCATTTCTCAGCAACTCTACGTTTCCAGCGCCTCCTCGACATGGCTGCTTTGAAAGATTGCTTCTGTCATGCTCTATGTATACCTTCTAAGCCTGCCAGTTTTCCTCAGCCTATAGCCAGAGGAATAAATGGAAAGTTAGAAACGAAAAGAGAGCATTAATTTTCCAATTCAACATTACTTTCTTTTCAGACATTACAGACAGCAGCCTAGGGAGGACCTAGGTTCAGAACTTTAAGCTAGTCTTCTCCTTGCACCATAACCCTTTCCTTTAGCCACCAAACCCTAATTACCATGTGATTCTGGGATCTGCTTAGCTAAGGGATGCTCAATAGTACCCAGCCTCACTATTCCCCAAGGCTCTTGCTAGAACAGAATGTGCTACAGCTTTACTTTGCCAATTAACAGGGCAGTGATGGCCGTTCAAACAATGCTGAAGAGATGTCTGAGGCTCCAGGATCAGATAGTATAGGTCCTAGGTTTTCAGTCTCTTTGAGAAGCAACCAACAATAAGACCCTGAAGCCCTTTCAAAATCATTCTACAAGTCTAAAGTATATAGCAAAATTTTGCCATAATCACCCTCCCTTCCACTTTCCCAATGACAAGCATACTACCACTGAGCTACACCTCCAACCCTGTTAAATTCTTGTTTCATTTGTCATAAATCTGTCTCATTTCAACTGCAAAATATCTGTTCCATGCTCCAATTTGTTTTTCAAGCTCAACCAGCCTCCCTAACTTTTGCTGCTGAAAAGGAGCATGGATCTCGTTGGCACTTTCCCAAGGGAATCTGGCAGGTGGTAGCCACGAGTTAGCTCTGCAATTTGAAAAGTCACACACTTGGGCTCTGGAGGAAAGCTAGGCCCATTGTATATACACTGGCTGCCAGTGATGATTTCTCACCGGCCCTCTGCCAGAATCCTCTGAGTCATCGTCCCTCCATGTACGAAGAAAACAATGCTCTAGCAGTGCCAGGGAGGAAGGCCAGGACTTCCATGCTTGACAACTGCACTACCAGATTAAGGTACAAAACCAGAGCAACTCCATAGTTGACCTGAGTAGAATAAGATTCATCCAGATAAGTTTCTGCCTACCTGAAGATTCAGAAATGCCAAGTCCCTCTAGCACACTCAGTATCACTTCTTGATTTCCCCCTCTGCACTCATGAACCACAGATTTCTAGCTCATTTTATTTCTATATTCAAATATTTCACCATTTTTTTTGGTACTGGGGATCAAACTCAGGTCCTTGTACTTGTGAGGCATATGGCGGAACCACTGAGCCAAATCCCTGGCCCCTCAATTTTTAAATATTGATCTCTGGGTTTATGCTACTGTCCCTAAAATGACAAAGATAAACAGAACAGTTTCTGCTCTGGGGAAGATAAGTTATAAAAGAAATACATTAAGCAAAGTGCTATCTAGTGCACTAGAATGTCACCTTTTGCACTTGTCAGGGACAAAATAAAGTTTTATTTTATTCTTTTATAAGTATCTCCTAAGACTAGAAAGAAGATAGAGGTGGGTGATGGTGGCAGACTGGTGAACAACTTGCAAGTCCTAATCTTAAATTATTTGTCCAATGCTCACTTTTACAAAATACTAAGTATCTATTGTATATACCCAAGTGAAATATTGTTAATGTCCCATTCAAGGTAGGGAGAATAGTGCCAGGTGTGGTACCTATTATCTCAGCACTCAGAAGGCTGAGGCAGGAGGAATGCTGTGAGTTTGAGACCAGCCTGAGCTACTTAGTGAGTTCCAGGTCAGTCTCAACTACAAAACAAAAAAACAAAACAAACAAACAAAACAACAAAAAGGAAGATTAGTAAAATGAGCAGTTCATGTTATCAATAATTTCTTGGACTATCTTTTACTCTCTTTTCTCCCACCTTATTCTCCCACCCCAGACAAACAGACATGCTGGAGGTATCTCGTAGGGAACCTTAAGTTCTGCTTTGTCTACTTTTCCCTTAATTTGAGTTTTGAAGGATTGCAGTTTTTCTCAACTCTTTTCCTAAGCTATCTCATTCTTGCCTACCATCTACAGGAGTATGACTTTACCTGTAACTGCAGCTCTATGGTTTTTGCCAAACCTATGTTGACTGGAAACTTTATCCTACTGCCCACAGGAACCTCAAAATTCAGTCTGTACAAGGCTGCCTTTTGTTACAAGATGCACCAACTTCCTTCTGTAGTGTCTTCCCACTCCATCCTGATTAGAATATCCCAGTATATTCACATGTTCAGGCACTGGCCTCTATTCCCCTTGCCCTCCCAACAACTGGGGGGGCTCCTATTAATTCCATCTCCTCTCTCCAATATGCCCTTTCTTCTCTACCTTGATCAGTATAGCTTTGTTCTAACTCTTTATCTTTCTCTTGTACCAGAGGACTATGTCACTAATCATACCCTCCACTAAAACTTAAAGCTCCTTAAGGAAGCCTGGCTCCCTCATTTTTAGATTGTGCTTGCCTTTCCGTCCCAATATTCCTGTCACAGCACTTTGCATGTTTGTTGCATGAATACACAGAAGCCCTCTGAAGTATGACTGTACAACACTCTATTATCCCATCCTAAAACCTATCAGATATAATTCATTTCATTTGTTTTACTGGTGGGAAAAAAAGAGAGACAGACCACATTTTAGAAATAGAAGCCACTGTTGTCTTTATAAAACACAGAATTGTGCTGCTGCTGTTGCTTGCTTCAGAAGGAACTGTACATTACAGCTGCTGGGATAATTTCACAATGGACTGGACAAGGTACAGCTCAAAGCAGGACAAAAACACAAATGGAAACAAATGCAAACAAGTACACAGCTGTGGGGCTCCAGGAACATTTCCCCATCCATGCTGGACTTGAAGAGGGATAAAAAGTTTAGAAACTAAAGTGAAACCCAGAGTATCACACATGCCCACCACATGGCTGCTAAGTGCAATATGACACACCATTAGGTCAGACTGTGTGCACAGGAAAGTCATTTCATTTTTCCTTATTGCTACTGCACCAGGGGACTCAGTGCATTTGGACACATTGTCGTTACTTACACAATTCTTGGAGTTTCCTATTCAAAGGACATCTGTATTTCCCATATCATTCTGTTTCGAGCCCACTCTTTCCACTCCCTTTTTTGGGCTCCCAAACAGCAGCCAGAGGTTCCAAGTCAGTAGGAGTAGAGTAAGGGGAGAGCACCAACCCAGCCTCTCTCCCGGATAAGGGAGAAGGCAAGTCCTAGTAAGTAGGGGAAAGACAAAACCGAGAATCCCTCCTCCCCAGTCTGCTTAGAAGGCCAAATAAGAAAGAGTGCCTGCATATCCCTGCCATTATCAGACCTTGAGAAGGAAGGCATCCCAGCTAGTATCCTGGACTGGCCTAACCTCAGTAAATAAATAAAAATAACCTTCCCTGATGTAATTTCCAAAACTGCCTTTTGGCTAGTTTGAGATGACTTTTCTACCCTGAAAGGGAAGGAACTTTGATCCTTCTTTTTTACATATTATGCCTGGTCTAAAACACTGTCCTACCAGCCATATAGATATTGCATGGGTCAGCTAGGAAAACAGAGTCTCCTTGGCTGCCCATCATGTATACTGGCCTTGTTTACAAAATTTTGGACAGAAAAAGAAAACTACCCAGAAAACATTGCTGCTTAAAGAAGAAGCTACAGAGAAGCTATGTAGCAGGTGGGAAAGTGGAACTTTTTAGGAAGCTTTCACACTTTTAGGTACCTTTTTCTTCAGCCTTATTGGAAGCGAAAGTTCCAGCAACAATAGCCCCAGGCTTATCCTCAGAGCCAGCATAGCACCTCAACCAATGGGCTGGATAAATAACTAGAGTACTCTTCTGCTTTCCCATCTCCTATCCAAACTCTCCATTCTCTTCTTTTCACTCATCTTCCTCTATATCCATCTTCTAACCCTCTAACCCTGAATCCCGAACTAGCTCAACCCTAGAACATCCTCAGTAAAGAGAAGCCCCAGGTAGAGAAAAAGAAACAGAATTAGAAAAAGCAATGAGAGAAACCAGCTCCAAGGAATGAACAGATGTAGAAACTGCCAGAAGCCCTCTCAATTTCATGCTAGTTGGGGAGGGCCTACTGCCATGCCCCAGTGTAAGCTTTTCTACATTACACCCCAGGGTTAACACCACTGGTATTAGGAACAGGTTCTTGGTCTTCTGCAGCCAAGGGGTTAAGCCTGACCTTGACAACTAACAGTGGCAAGTAGGATCACTGTGGCCATGCAGAGAATTCATCATCACATAGGCAGGCAGGCAGGCAGGCAGGCCAGCCAGCAAGCAGGCTCAGTGAACAGAAAAAAGGAAAAGTAAGGCAGGGAAAGCAAGAAGAGGAAAAGTCAGGCAGAAAGAGTAGAACAAAGGGAACAAGAGACCTAAAAGGATAAAGCTGGGGTCTTCCCAGTGCCTCCTCAGAGTTTGGTAAAAAGCACCACTTAAACCAAATCTTGAAACATTTTTCAATGTGCATGTACCACCTTTCAAACAAGAATAGTCAGGGAATTTTTCAAGTCTTAAGAGACTTTTTTTTTAATCAGAGCAAAAAGTTAGTTTTCTTATCATTGCCCAAGCTACTTCTCTTGCTTTTATTGACTGAATGGCACATACAATGTCAAAGGACTAAAATGCCTTTCAAGCCTCAGCTTGAAATCCAACTGGAGAGAGTGAGGCAAAGACAGAAAGGAGAGAACACAAACTTGTTGCTGGGAGTAGTGACTGCCACCTGCTCCCTTTGGACATTTGCAAATGCTGGTGAATGACTGGACCCTCCCTCCAGGAACAGTACCCTTATCCCAGCCCCAAAATGTACCCAAGAAGAGAACATGCAGAGCCCATTGTCCTAGGAGAGCTCCCTCCCCAAAGGGTAACGGAACATGAAGTAGACTGCATATGAAGGCGATGGACAGGGCAGATGGAGTGTTGGCATCACTCTCTTTAGGCACTTGTGTAAGGAATGTAGGCTCTCCACTGAGCTGCCTCTTCCCAGGGCCCTCCATTCTGTTCGTCAGCTGGGCTTGTTGTGCCCAAGGGATACCTCAAGCTATACCAGAAGGAAAAAAAAAAGCAGAGGAGCAATCACTCAATAGTCCTGTTGCTTTCTCCACAATGAATGTTTGTGCTACTTTCTGAAATTGCTGACCAAGATAGCCAACCAGAACAGAACCTGGGATAGATTATTTTGCATAGCAAATCTGGGTCTATACAAGGGCTGCTGGGGAGAAGAAAGGGTAGCTGTACCTCCACAGGGCAGGATTCAGACACTACTTCCAGCTGGCCTCCAGGCTTGGGCTAGGTCTAAAGTATCATGGCTTCATAACCAGAGTGGGGTAAACTCAAGCCCATGTGCCTCAAAAAGAGGATTTCGACACTGAAGTTGAAACTCCCCAACAAGTAGTAGGGAGGAACAGTCAAGGAAAGAGGAGGGCTTGTCTCAAGGCCCACAAGTACCAAGCTAGAAGCCCTTTCCTTCTCTAGTCCTGCAAGAGAGCCAAACACCATATCTAAAGGGGAAAAAAGGAAAAACAAACAAAACCCATGACACCCACTCACATGCCCTAGTGGGAACCAGGAAAAATTTCATTTGTGTAAACAGAAGCAACCAGGAGCAGCAAAACTCCCCAGCCTGCCCACAGGACACACTAGAATTTGGGATGAGTCAGAGGTCAAAGAACAGTTCAGTCCAGGGAAAGGAAAGATGCACTTGCAGGAAGGAGTGCAGGACAGTGCAGAGGAAGGAGCCTGCAGCAAGAAAAAGGTATTATCTGCACAGAGGAAGAACAGAGCCTGAGTCCCAATTTGGGGACACAACCACCCTTTTCCTAGGAAGGCCAGAGAATGAGTCAGGTACATAGTTCCTTCGGATGGCTCAATGTTTCCAGGATGTAAACTCATCAGGCATGGGAGGGATTTCCAGATTTTGGCAATAGACTCAAGTTATGGTATAAAAATAACATTTAGGATTTTTTTTTCTTATTTTAGATCTAAGGATCTTCTGTTATAAGACACCCTGGTTGTGAAATAATTGAAACACAAGACTTGAGCATCAGGGGAAAAAAACACCGCCAAAAGTGAGAAATGCTATGAAAGTAACTCCAGACCCAGTAAGGTGGGAGGCATGGGGACAGGGTAAGAAGGAGGCAAAAGTGGAAAAGCCAGGGGCCAGTCATCTCAGCAGCTCAGAGACTTGTTATGTTTGAAAGTGCAAATGTCAATGGATTTTAACCATCTTGAGGTTGCGGGTCTTTTTAAAAGCTCAAAGAATGTGGAAGTCAATTCCTTCAAATGCAAAATAGCTGGCATTCTGGCTGGAGGCTCATTGGGTTTGGGATATTTCTTCCCCACCTACCTCCTCTCCCACCCCCACCCCTACCCCCAAAGAAAGGTACAAAAGGTTGCAGTTCTGCAGCATTACCATTACAGGGAAGGCACTGGTTACCCACCAGCAGGCGGAAGGAAGACAGGGTCGTGTCACTTCAGAGCTAAGTGCCATAGTGCCTTAAGTGTTACTAGGGGGGCTGGATGTCTGTCAGGGAGGAAGTGTAAGGGATAGAAAATGTGGGAGAGTGGAATGGGGGGACTGGGGGAGGAGCAACCAAAACCATTAACATTAAAAATCTTCCTACAAACTGGTTTCTGAACCCTTGAAAACATCTAGTATCCTAAAATATTGATCTGGGTCTGGTTTCATTTTTCTTCTTAAACAAATCTAGACCTTTTCTGATTAAGGCTCCTAAAAAATCCTTCCCTCATCCCACCCAGTTTCTCAAGCCCCTCACTTTCCCATCTAAAATAACAAATCCAAACCTACCAGCATTTGTCCACAGGGCTGCAGAGCCAACCTTACCAAGCTGTCAAGCGTGAGTTTTAGCACTGAGAGTCACATGAGACACCTGTGAGTATGGTGGGCATCAGCGCTACCCCTCTTGGTCCAATGGAGTCAGAGCCAGATGTGACAAGATGGGGTAAAGGGTGGGGATATGAGGTTGACATCAGAGATTTCTGGCTGATGGTCTGTCTTGCTGACCCTGTTCCCCACCCTAATACCCCTGCTATAGAAAGAAACAAGGCCTCCTGTACTCCTCCCTACCCCACCTCCCTCCTCCTTGCTTCCTCTGGATTTGGGCAGCACAGCTCCTGGGGCTTGGAAAGCTTTCTTCTATCCAGTGAGGTAACAGCGTTCTGCCTTCAAGCGAAGTACATGGTGCGCAGAGTGTCCTGGTGAACCTGCACAGCTTTGGCCAGGGCCTGGGGGTCCCGCCCATTGCTCTGCCCCGATATGTGGCTCCCCTCTCCACTGAAAAGGAAAAAATGAAATATGTCCTTCCTGGTGAACTGCGCTGCTATTAATTCCCTCAGCCTCCCCATGGTGCCAATTCCCACACCAATTTAAGAGAAAACCCCAACCCAGTTCTGCCAGATAAGTCCCAAGGACACCAAACTGTACAGTACCCACTTCTTCTACCTTCATAAAGTTGATAGCATCTCGTACAACAGGCTGAAGCATGCTTGATCCCAGGCCTCACCTGTCATGCTCCTTGTCCACCAGGTGGTATCGTGCCCGGAAAGCCACCAGGCGGGCATAGTAGGCTGGTGCTGGGATAGAGACGGAACGTGTGCATCGTACATAAGTGTGGCACAGCTGGTATGTCAAGATCTGGAGCTCATCCGCTGTGAAACGGTTGTCATCCCAAAGAACATAGTAATGGGATGGTCGGCTGGTGCCCTAGGAAGATAGGAAGGTGAGGGGTCCCGGGTTGGGCAGAGGGGGATGGCTGATAATAAGGAACAGGCTATAAGAATAGAGCTAGGGCGGATGACCCACCCATGAATAGGCACACACAAACTCACCAATGTCAGCAAGTATTCTTATGGGCAACCTGCAAGTACACTTAGGGCTCATTAAGAGAGCAATTCTGATTTGAATACTACTCAGTGAGGACTGACATAATTCTAGAGGCAGTGGGAATAACCACTAATCTTTGATCCAAAGGAGACCCCAAAACATAGCCAAGCTACCTGAATGCCTGCGTGGCTGCACAGATAGAAGTCAAACTCAAAAGGGTGAGTGATGTTGGTGTCCACAGTGGTCCCAGCTGGGATGTTACCACTCTTCCCAATCTGTGTAGAGACAAATACAACCAAGATCCCAAGACCTGTCTGGCCCTAATAAGGGCTATGGCTGAATTCTAACCTGACTCTATCAGAATCCCAAGAACAAAGACAGAAAATGCCATTCCTAAAGGGTACTAAGTCTTAAAATAATAGGCTTGTAAAGTCAAAGAGACCTGTGTTCAAGTCCTGGTTTTGCTATTTACTAACTATGTGATCATAGAAAATCACTTAACCTTTTGGAGGTAATAGTGGTACCTACCTCACAGGGTTGCTGTGAGGAAGACGCCTTGTACAGTGTCTGGCACATAGGAGAAGTTCAATAAATGGTAGTTCCCTTTCCCTTCTCTGAGAGCTGGTCTATATATAGGGTATAGGCCAAGGAGCTAGGAGGAGGGAGAGGAAGTATAAGGGAAGGAGGGGAAAAGGGGGAACACTAAGGGAAGGAGGTGGTAGAGGACGGACCACAAGAGCCATGGGGAAGGAAGAAGCCAGGGAGGATACACAGGACAAAAACTAAAATCCCAGACTTTATCTCAAGGGCTTCTTCCCTATCAAGACAAGGGAAGCAGAATGAGGATATTGGTGGCTTTCTCAATCCCTCACTCACTCGCTCATTCTTGTCAGCACAAAAAAGGCGGGTGTGATGGCGTTTCTGCACCACAATATAAGTGATCCCAGGCTGGTAGTCCTTTTCCAGTTTGATGCAGGCATCACGAATGGCCAGAAGTTCATAGTGGAGGATCTAGACAAGGTGAAGAAGGAGACAGAGACAGAGCTCCTCTTCAGTTTTCATGCCATTCTGAACATCACATGCAATATGGCTTTCACTCAGCCTCCCTGTATAAGCTGATGCACAACAATTAGATGACAAGCCCTTCCTGCCAAAATCAGCCTTCTATTCAGTTTATATTTGATATGTTCCTACAACACCTTAACTAAGGGGCTTGGCATCAGAAGAGAGCACCCAGCTGGTTCCCATGCATAATGAGATCTAACATCAGGATTCAAAGCTAAAGTTTACAAATAATCACGAAAATCATAAAGTCCAAAGTTAAGTCAATTCCAGGATCTAGAAGATATGGGAATTTGCCAGTGAGCTCCAGGAGCAGACAGGGTTTGGATCACCAGACAAAAGTAAATATGTAATTACTGAGTGGATAGAGAATGAGTGGATGAATACAATCCTACTACAAAGAAGCAGAATTATAGTAAAATGGACTAATTAGTTAGAAGCCACTACAGGTCAATAATCACAGACAATAGTTGCCTGTGGCCATGAATGTCAGACACCGAAATCCAAAACTGTAGGCAGCTCAGTTATAGAGCATGTGCTTAGAACACATGAGGCCTAGGATTCGATCCATAGCAGCAGCAACCCACTCCCCAAAAAGAATGTGTAATAGAAAGTGATGAAGTTTGGAATCAACCAGAACTAGCGTTAAATCCATGCTTACTTTCAGGCATAAGAAAATGTAATAGGGCTTAATAACTGCTCTTTTTTTTTGCTAAGCAGTTGTATTTTAACCCAAGGATATGTGAAGTCACTACACATTTCTGAACAAAGAAAAGATATGGTAAATTTCTCTGGTATTTTAGGAAATACCGAATGACTCGGAGACTGGCATAATGGATAAGAGCCAAGATTTTGGAATGAAACCAAAGTATTTGAATCCCACTTCTGCCACTTATTAGCTTGAGTAACCGTGAAGAATTAACATTTCCAAAAACATTTTAAACCTGTTTCTCTATCTTACAAATCAAAACTTAAAAAATTATGATTTCATACGGTGATTATAAGAATGAAACAGAACATATATGAAATGTTTAGCACTATTCATAGCACATATGACATATGTGCTTAAAGTCATACGAAATGGTAGTCAAGGGCTGGGGACATAGCTCAGTGGTAAGGTGCTTGTCTAGCATGTAAGGGCTTAGGTTCAGTTCTCAGCACCAAAAAAATTAAAATTAATAAACAGGTCCAAGAATACCAAACAGAATATGAAGGCTTGGCAGTGAGAAGAGGAGGAATATTATAAAGGAAGGTCCATAGCAGTGGTTCTTCTCAAGTTGTTGTCTCTAGGCCAGCAATATCATCTAAATTTGTCAGATTTGCATTAAAAGCCATATCCTAGATGTATTAAAACAGAAACTCCAAGGGAAGAGGCCCACAAATTGTTTTAATCACCACCCCCTCTCCTGCCATGATACCAATGTAAGCTAACATCTGAGAACCTCTGATCTTGGGGGCAGCAGAGGGAAAAAGAGACCCACTGGTTTAAACAGTCTTCAACATGAACCAACCAGTAAACAAGAACGGCGAACTTTCTACTAGTATAGATGCTTAGAAACTCCACCCATCGATTATGATCCTATCCCAAGTCTACCACACCTCCTAGTGCCAACAGCTTAGAAAAGGAAGCAACACCTAGCCCTGTGGCCTCAACATGAATACTTTCTCCACCTACTGTGGGCCCTACCTGGGGGAGCTGGCCTTCAGGGACCCCATCTCGATAAAAGATGATGCGGGTAGGCTTGAAGCGGGTAGATTTGTAGAACTGGATGAGCAGCTCACGCACCATGTAGGACAAGTCTTCAATGATCTCCTGCCGTGGTCGCTGCACCCGCACAGTGGCACAATATCGGCTGGGGTGGGCATCCATACTGCCTACTACCTAACAATCAAAGAAAAAGGATCAGCCTTCAAGATATTACTCTCCATCACTGTCAGACTGGGGTTTGGGGAAAGGCCTCTTAGCAAGAGAACTGCGACGGAATGAACAGGGCCTGGGTGGGATTCAATGAGTCCTGGTTTCAATCTGTTACACCATCCGTGCAGAATTTTAATCCACCTGATAAAAATACCTGCTCTTAGTGCTATGGCCATACATACAAAGAACTTTGCAAAAGGTTTAGTCCTAGCCCCTCACAAAGGAGCATGTGAAGATCTGATACGTCCAAAACAATAACAACCTTATCCAAGTAGCCGAGTTTATCTTTTCTTCCATTCCAGTGCTAATCTACCCAAGAAGCATGGCCACAGTGACAATGTCCTCATAGTTGATGGGGGTAATGTCATCTTCAAAGGGGTCAATGGCCACAGCTTAGGAAGGATGGACACAAGGAAAACCAGGATGACTGTATTAGAAGGTTTGCCTACATTTACCAATATGAGACAGTGCGCCTAAAGAAATGTGAGGGCCGAGGAAATAGAAGTGAGAAGGAAGACTTGATTCCTAGCAATTGGAAACCCCTGACAGGGTGCAGAAAAATCAGGAGAGGAAGTAGACATTTAATCTGTCTTAGATGGAAGGAAGGTGGACAAGAGGAGAGGGAAGGACATTGCCAGCAACTAACACTCTTTTTGTTTGTTTGTTTTTGTTTGTTTGTTTGTTTTTTAGATAGGGTCTCACTATCTAATTCAGGCTGGCCTTGAACTCACTATGTAGCCCAGGTTAGCCCCAAATTCATAGCAATCCGCCTGCTCCAGCCTCTCGAGTACTGAGATTACACACATGTGCCACCACATCCAGCTTCTAACTTTCTTTTAAACAGGCATTTTTTAAAATATGCTACATTCATTCTCCTACATCCAAAAAGCCGGTATGGAAAGAGAAAATTCTGAATGCAGAATAATGACAGGATTTTTGGCCATGTTTCTGGCCACAGGCTACATTCTCGCTATTCTTCACCCAAAAAATATACAGGGGATCTTGTGAAAGGTCAAGAGCCAGGGTTTAGGGAAGGAAATCATGTGTATTCTTAAGAATTCAGAGAAGGAGGAGAACCTTATGAGAAAACTGGAGAGTATTACTCACTGCTGTAATAGAAGGTTTTTTCCCATCCCCTGCTGGAGGGTGTGTAACATCTGCTCCCAGGAATATCACTGGCTGTTGAAAGACAGCAGAGCTAAGCAAGGAAGAGAAAACAAAATGGTGAGAAATTGGGTCATTTCAGCCTGGTACCATCAGAACCCACTCTGGTCTTCTCCCTTTCGTGTCTGATTCACTCTGATTGGCCAATTGCCTGTTCATCAATCCCCAGCAGGATACCTTAACAAGAGTAAATGGACAACAGAGTTCATACCGCTGGTGTGGGACTAGGATGTTGTTAATGCCGCCAAGTTTGACATTGATCTTGAGGCAGAGGTTGGACAGAGTCTGAGGAGAGGTCTTCACCACATTCTTCACCTGCACACACTGTGTTGCCATTCCCAAAAGTGTATCTCCAACACGTTTCACTTCAGCTATGGAAAGGGAGAGAAGTAATTAGCGCACTCAACAAATATTTATGAATGGCTACCAGATGCTAAGCAGTATATGAAGTACGAGGGAACACAATGGTGACCAGAAACAGTGTCCCTACTCTGCTAGTGCTTACTATCTAGTAACCTTTTTTGTTGTTGTTTTTTGTTACAAGGGATCCAACTCGGAACCTTGCACTTGTAAGGCAGGCAGCAGAACCACTGAGCTAAATCCCCAACCCAGTAATCTTTCTTTTTTTTTTTTTTTTTTTTTTTTTTTTGATTGTGTCCACCT